CAGTATTAAAAGGAAAATTTCTAAGCTTTGAGTACTTGTGTTTGTCCAAAGACTCTCTTGCTTTTCAAAAAAGATCCATTTATGAAAAACTGCTTGTAAATTATCTGTAAAGCTAATTATTTCTAGAATAAAACATTTTATTGTAATATAATTTCCTACTAAAGTATGGGAGATTTACCTTCATTTCATGAGTTTAGTGTGTACTAGATGCTCATTTTTCTTTGAATAGAAGAAAAGTGCTGTTTTTCTTTTTCTTTTTCTTTTTCTTTCTTTTTTTTTTTGAGACAGAGTCTTGTTCTGTTGCCCAGGCTGGAGTGCAGCGGCACTATCTTGGCTCACTGCCACCTCCACCTTCTGGGTTCAAGTGATTCTCCTGCCTCAGCCTCCCGAGTAGCTGGGATTACAGGCACCCACCACCACACTTGGCTAATTTTCTGTATTTTTAGTAGAGATGGGGTTTCACCATATTGGTGGGCTGGTCTCGAACTCCTGACCTCATGATCCTCCCACCTCGGACTCCCAAAGTTTTGGGATTACAGGCATGAGCCACTGTGCCCGGCCGAGAACTGTTTTTATACTTGATAAAGATATAAGATGTAAATATTTAGAAAGGGGTGATGGTAAATGAATTTTATTCTAAGTGCAGCATTCAGCACCCAAATTAATTAGGAAATTTCTATTTCACACATCAAATGTCCTTAATAAAGCCTTCTGCTTACAAAATCATAGTTTTTGAATTCACTAAAAATGCTTAGTATATCCCCCAGAATCATCAGTCTCCCACTTGACAACTCATGACTGATCCTAATTCAGAATCCTACTACCTGCTAGTTTTGCTTCCACCAAGGTGTAACAGTTTCCATTTCCTAATGGCTTCTTTTTGTTTTTCTTCTTCTCCTTTTCCCTCACCTAAAACAACATAAGCATTTGTTCATGAACCAATCAAGAGACATTTATTATGCACCTACTATATGTCAGGCACTGCAGGCACTGATTCAGTGATAGGAAATACCCTCCATGCTACCTCCAGACCTTTATTTTCATCATGACCAAACCAAGAGACAAGAGAAATGGAAAGTATAGAGTATATTACTTTTTAAAATCCTGCCAGGCTCGATGCCTCATGCCTGTAATCCCAGCACTTTGGGAGGCCAAGGCGGTGGATCATTTGAGGTCAGGAGTTCGAGACCATCCTGGCCAACACTTCAGAAACCCCGTCTCTACTAAAAATACAAAAAAATAGCCAGGCATGGTGGTGGGCGCCTGTAATCCCAGCTACTGGGGAGGCTGAGGCAGGAGAATTGCTTGAACCTGGGAGGCAGAGGTTGCAGTGAGCTGATACCATGCCATTGCACTCTAGCCTGGGTAACAAGAGTGAAACTCCGTCTCAAAAACTAAAACTAAAAATACAAAAATAAAAATTCTGTTGCCTGTCTCCTAAAGAGAGGTTTTGTAGGTGGTTTTGTAAAGGCCTGTTCTGGTCGTTTTTAGGTCTTGGAGCATGGGCCAGTGCTTCTTTCATTGTTGCTTAGCTGCCCTATGTATCCCCAGGGGACTGAAATTTCTCTTTCCCCAGAGAATTCATCCCCCACACCAGCTTCATTCTCTGCCATGTTGCCACTAAATTGCCTCCCAATTTGGCACAGTAGACGCTGTTGAGAGGATCCAAGCTTGGCATAACATGCTGCTCTTTGCTGCGTGACCTTTGATAGGTGGTGTTCTTCTCCTGAGCTTTTGTAAAATGTATAGAGGACAATAATTCCTCCTTCACCCATACTTCATGGGAATCTTGTGAGTTTGAATGAGGAGGTTATTTAAAAGACTATTTTCACAGAGGGAGTTGCTATAGAAACACAGAGGGGTACAAGTACTTCAGACAAGGGGTTTGGGGGAAGCCCTAGGCTATTTGTTTCTTTGAGAAGCCAAGAAATGGAAGAGCCATAGCTCAGCCATTGATGTGTTTCAGGTGAACCCTAGGTCTCCTGCTTCCTCTTGCTTTTAGGATTAGACTTTTTCTGTAGCATACTCCACCAGAACCAGTACACTCCAGTACAGGAAAAAATTCACTGCAGTACAATATCAAACACAAGGGATGGTGGAGTGGGTGTTTCTAGAATGTATCTAGCTCAATACTAGTACTGCTTTTCCATTGAGAAGAGAATGGCATGACTCTGGTAGATTAGGAAAGGAAAGAAGAGAAGAGAAGAAGATAACTTAAAAAAACATCCACTAATAACTGTGTATTGGGAGTACGTGGACTGATCATTGTATTGGAACTGTGGATGGAAGCGTAAGATTGGTTTCTGCCCTCAGAAAACTAAAAGCCTAATTGTCGGAGATGGAGGTTAAAAAAAAAAATGGGGACTTTTCATAAATGACCTTTATCAGGTTAAGAAAGATCTCTATTGCTAGTTTGTTGAGTACTTGTATTATGAAAGGTGTTGAAGTTTGTCAAATGCTTTTTCTGCATCTATTAAGATGGTCATATGGTCTTTCTCCTTTATTAATGTGTTGCATTACATTGCTTGATTTCTAAATGCTTAAACTATCTTTGCATTTCTGGGATAAATCCTACTTGGTCATGGTGTGTAACCCTTTTTATATGCTACTGGATTTGGTTTGCTGGCATTTTTGTTGAGGCTTTCTGGGTCTGTATTGATAAGGGATGTTAGGATAGAGTTTTCTTATGATGCCTTTGGTTTTGCATCAAGGTAATACTGACCTTTAAAATCAGTTTAGAAATGTTCTATTCTCTTCTATTTTGTGGGAGAGTTTGTTTAATTCTTCCTTAAACATTTGGTAGAATTCATCAGCAGAACCATCTGGTCCTGGGCTCTTCTTTGTGGGGTTCATTTTTTAATACAAGATGCAGAAGAATATTTATGGAACAATTCCATGTGAGAGAGAGACTTTTTAAATATATAGATATATGCTTTTATTTACGCAGAAAATTTTTGGAACGATATACCAAAAAAACTGGCATCAAAGATTATCATTGGGTAATAAGATGGAACTTGGTCTTATGTTCCTTTTTTCTTTAAAAAAATTATGATCATGCATTGTTCCAAAATTAAAAAATAAAAAACTACTTAAAATGACTAGCATTTGGCCATTTGCTCTTTCACTCACGCAGCAAGATGTTAGGACTGTGTATTTGCCACTGGCCTGTCTCCTTTGGAACTTGCAGTCTAGTAGGCCCTTGCATCTCTCAGCTTCGTAGTCTGCCCTCCCTCTTCCCTATTTTGTTCTCCATCAACACTGAATTACTGGTCAATTCTCTGGAAAAAAAACCCAAAAAACAAAAAACCTGCAGCTACATGCTCCTATGCTTTCTTTTCTTTTTCTTTTTGGTTTTTTTGTTTGTTTGTTTTGTTTTGTTTTGTTTTGTTTGAGATGGGGTCTTGTTCTTGTTGCCCAGGCTGGAGTGCAATGGCATGCTCTCGGTTCACCACAACCTCTGCCTCCCAGGTTGAAGCCATTCTCCTGCCTTAGCCTCCCAAGTAGCTGAGATTGGGATTACAGGGATGCACCACCACACCTGGCTAATTTTGTATTTTTAATAGAGATAGGGCTTCTTCCTGTTGGTCAGGCTGGTCTTGAACTCCCAACCTCAGGTGATTTGTCTGCCTTGGCCTCCCAAAGTGCTCAGATTACAGGCATGAGCCACCACACCTGGCCAGCTACTGTGCTCTCATGCATGTGATTTTTGTTCCCTTACCTCTCCATCCCTTACCCCTGTATCTGCCCAATTAATTTTTCTTAATTCTCGTTTATCCTTTAAAGCCCCTTCCAAATATTAGTTACCTTCCTTTGTGAACTTCCCAGCTCACTCTCTTTTTTATTTCCCAGCCAAGGGGAAAGAAATCTCTCCCTCCTGCTGCCTCTCATAGATTACGCATATTTTTGTTATTGAACTTTGTACTTACCCTGCATCATAATTACTAGCTCACATATGTGTCTTCTCTAAAAGTACAGTTTTATTCAGTGTCGTGTCCTGGAACTTAGCACAATGCTTGGCACAGAATAGATGCTCAAAAATATTTGAATTGAATTGAATTCAGGAGGCAGGGCATTCTGGATAGAATGAGCAATATAAACAAAGGCCAATGTTATGAATTACTAGAACCTGTTCTGAGGACATGAGCTAGTTTTGCTGATAGGAAAATTCATGCTGGGAAATATGATGTAATTATTTTGGCAAGGCTGATATTGGGGGCTCTTGAAAGCCAGATAAAGCAGATTGAATATTGGTAAGTAAAAATTGATTGAATGAAGAAGATTGAATATTGGTAAGTAAATATTGATTGAATGAAGAACATTTCTCACTTCCTTCCAGTCTTTGCTGAAGTCTGTCTTCTCAATAGGCTTATCCTGACCACCTCCTTTAAAACTGTTCCCTCTTCATTCATCCATCCATTCCCCTGACTCCAGCATTCTTGATCGTCCTCTCCCTGTTCTTCCTCCTTTTCTCATAGCACTTATCATCATCTGTGTAGCACAGTCTATGTTTTACTCATTTATTACAGTTTGTATTTATTGTCTGTCTTCTCTACTAGAATATAAACTCTTTGAGCCAGGACTAGCTTGTTCACTGACAGTTCCCAAGCACCTAGAACATTGTCTGGCACATAGTAGGTGTTCAGTCAGTATTTGTTGAGTGAATGAATCCTAAATTAGTGAACTTCAGTATCTTGTACAGAGCTGGCGTAGAAGCTTAGGTATGATTCAAATGGCCTGTTTCTGAAAGAAACAAGTTTATTCTGTAAAACTGCCAAGGTTGTGCCATCTCTTTGTAATATAATCTGGGCATGGCAGAGGGAGGGAGGTGTGGGGCAAAGGGAGATACATTGTGTTAAGGTTGCTTGTTTAAAAACCAAGTTGGGAAGTAAAAATTATTAAGGACTTTCGAGTTTATTTATTCCTTACCTGGAAATCATTGTTTCATGCAGTGACTCATACCCATGCTTTAATAATTTCTCTCTCTTTTTTTTTCTCCACAGACCTTTGTAGTATTAAACAGAGGGAAAACTCTCTTCAGATTTAGTGCCACGCCTGCCTTGTATATTTTAAGTCCTTTTAACCTGATAAGAAGAATAGCTATTAAAATTTTGATACATTCATATCCTTTTCTGCAAATGTGGAGTGAGTGCAGCAATTGCTTGGGTGCTTGTCTACCTTCCCAGTATTTGACAACTGGATGTTATGTTAAGTTTTGTACTGATAGTGTAGTTAACTAGCCCATCGGTCAGGAGTTTAAGAGTAAACTCCTGCCACATCCCACGCTGAGCTTCAGCAAATTATCATTTTTTTTCTTAGGATGATATTGTGGGAATCTGAAATTTTGTTGGTATCATTGTGTGGGACAAATTAAGATAAACTTTGTTGAAGTCTTAACTTCATTTACTGTTCAAACTTCAGTGATTTCGTTCCATGGTCAACTATTCAGCTTAATATATATTAAAAGCCAGTGTTAGAGTTTTTTGAAAGCACTTCTTAAGTTACAAATAGTTGGATGAATGCTTTAGAAATCAGCTTTGAATTTTTTTTAATTTTTTGAGCAGTGAGCTTGGAAAGTGAGATAGTTCTCAGATGAAATAAACTTCTCCTTGTTATAGAAGTTTAGATGCAGATTGTAGGATAAACAGGAATTTTTTCTGATATTTTTACTTGCCTTAAATAGAAGAATGCCAATTTATTCAAGTGGCCTGATTTACACCTTATTAACATAGGAGAGAGTGTGTGGCAAATGAAAAATTATTTGATGGATTTAGCGATGTTGCATAGTGACTTTGAACTTCCATGGTTGGGTGGTTTTTAACAGCAGGTAGTCCCATTCTTCAAAGATTATTGTATCCTCCCAAGTAGGCTGAGGGAACCAGCAGTGGCAACTTAGTGATTTTGTTTAGTAAGCTTTTGCCACATTTTATTTACTCTTAAGAATTTAGCAACGCGGTCATGAAATCTGTAAAACAACACAATTCTGAAACCTTAAGGTTTATAAGGAAATAAATAATTCACAATGGACTTCTTCTTTTCTGTTGGATCAGAAGATGGAGTGTTTTTTCTCTTCTGGTTCCAAAAAGCATGAAGACATATCCAGCTGTAATGAAGAAGAAAAAAAAAAAAAGTCCAGCTGTAAGAAATATTTTCTCTTTTTAAAATTCCACTGGTAGAATAAAGATAGTGAAAGTCATTAACAAGAGACAGTTCATAAATGGCAAGTGGGATATGGCCCCCAGGCTTGTTAAGTGACAGAGTTTGAGTAACTTGTGCTGACCTAAAATAGTTTAATTTTTCTCAGACAAGATCAGAAAGAGAAAAATTCTGGACGGAACTGAAATGGTAGTATGGTTTGCTATCCATAAACATTCCTTGACACTTTCAGAATGGATTTTGCTTATTACCTAAGCTTCAGAAGTGTGCTTGAAAGATGTCCTTGAAATCTTTACTCAACACGCCACAGTTGGTTTCCGATATTGGACTATTCAACACATATGGGCTATGTTGGCTAATGCCTTGCCCCGAAAGACAATCCCTTTAGAAGGACTAGGGAAGGCTGGGTGTGGAGGCTCAGGCCAGTAATCCCAGTACTTTAGAAGGCTCAGGAGGTAAGATTACTTTAGCCCAGGGGTTCAAGAACAGTTTGGGCCACATAGCGAGACCCTGTCTCTTAAAGAAGAACAGCAACTATGGGAAAAAAAGTGAACTATTGAATGTAAAGTTTCAAATAAATAGCTGTATAAGATAATTACCTTACTAATGAATGAATACCTAGTTATATAGATTTACTCGATTTTCTTATCTGACAACTTTGGTTGAGAAACTACAAAGGTTTTGTACTAAGTGCAGAAATTGTTAGAGGCTTAGTCCATAGTTGAGCTGAAAAGTGGTTAGAGGGGAATATGTTTCATCCAAAAGGAGTAGAATAGTGATGGCCCTTTTGAAAGAAGGAGAACAGCCATCTGCCCCATCCATTCACAGTTAACAGTGGCATCCTGTGTTTATGGTGGTGACCACAGGTTTCATTATCACCTTGCATTTTTCTCTTCTGTGCTTCATCTCCTTTCAGGTTATTGATTTAGATCTCCTGATTCCCAGTGGAAATGTATTTGTCTTCTGAGAAAACGAAAGGCAGGCCAGGTTTTGTATGTTGCCCCTTGACTCTTCTCTACAGTATTTAGCATGATCATTATGTGCACTATTTTGACCAACTGTGTATTCATGACTTTTAGTAATCCTCCTGACTGGTCGAAGAATGTGGAGTAAGTAACTCATTTATTCGTATGCTTGTTTGTTTTAAAGATTTTTTTAGTCACTGAATCTTGCTTTGCCACAGTTTACTCATCAAGGCGAAAAAAAATTAGTTATTGCCTCTCTTTATTTCACAGAGAAGGCTGAAAGTACATGTGAAATTTAGGAAGTATCCCTCTCTAGAAGTCAACTCTAGGGAGAGAGATTATGCTCTGGAAATTACCACCCTTCGCTCCACTCTTTCCTGTGCCAGGCACTGCATTGCCCTGCAGCCCCATCACCATCCTGTATTCAGTTCCTGGGGATGCTGTTTGCTCCAATTTTAGGTTTTCCTGTGTTTTGACTGTCTAAGGTTAAAAACAGCTCTGGAGGGCCTCCTTACCTGCTTCAAAATGATCATGTACTAGATAGGAGCACAGTTACTTCCGTGGCATACAATTCAGGACCCAATACAACATTCCAGAGGTCTTGGTTTGTGCATTTCAGGAAGCTTCCTCCTCGTTTCCTTACTGCTGCGTTGGTTGTGCCCTTTCCATTTTGTCTCTCTTAGTTGAAGCCACACTTCAGGCAAGTGCTAACTTAAAAGGTTCATTTAAAGTTTCTGTCCAGAAATTACCTCAAGCCCTTCATTTCTTTGACAGGTACACGTTCACAGGGATTTATACATTTGAATCACTAGTGAAAATCATTGCAAGAGGTTTCTGCATAGATGGCTTTACCTTTCTGCGGGATCCATGGAACTGGTTAGATTTCAGTGTCATCATGATGGCGTAAGTTCTCCCCTTACTTTATTGTTATTCTGGGTGTGATTCTGTGTGTGGAGTTGTAATCTTGGGTCTGTTTGTAGGATAGTGTTTCTAAGTGTGCGTATGTGGACACAGCTGTATGAGGAATTAATGGATAACCATGTAAGGCCCTATGGACTCATGTCTATGATTCTTGCTTGTGAGGGCCTCTTGTGGTTCAGGTAATGATAACGTGTTTATGTGGGAGAAGGCAAGCAGAGGCTTGACAGCTGGGAGAGAAAGTAGGAGGTGACTTCCCATGGACACTCTCTCATATTTTATTAATCCTTATAACATTGATCAAGGTTTGCACACCTATCATTACAAGGCCTCTGTGAAGACTTGAAATTTTTTAAATGTAAAAAACCTTCAGCTGAAAATTGAGTTTCCTGGGTATGTCTTACCGCATGTAATTTAGTGAGGCTGGCCAGGTGTTGCACACTTCAGAGCACATTTTAGAGTCAGAACATGAGCCAAGATATCCAAACCGGCACCTCCTGAAGAGTTACTAACCAGAATTTTGAACTATTGCTCAAGATCAGGGTAACTCCACATTGGTATGTTACTGCTCTGGCTCATTTGTGGCGTTTTAGCAATAAAAATGTATCTTTGGGAAACTTAGCTGATGATAGAAGCGTTGTAGCAAGCTTATTATTTTTATTTCCAGGTTGGGGAAGCATTTTGTGGTTTGGGAGTGTAGTGGGGTTGGTGTATCAGTTTTTCGTGTATGCATGATGTGTAAGAAAGAGCACATTTGAATATGTATTGATCTGAGCATCCGGTGGAAAGATGTATTTCAGCTGTAAAATGTGAATAAATGATATGCATCAAATACTTGAAACTAAAACTGATTTTCTGTTAAATAAAGGCAGTGTCTTACTTTCTAGCCTTATGAATACACATTGGTGTTCATTTAAAATTTTTAAATGTCCTTGCTAGGCATGAGCTTGTAATTAAAATGAGCACTTAACACAGTATTTGCTCTGATCCCATGATTTGGATATTCCTGAGCCCTGCTTTTGTACGTCATAGGTCAAAACTTCATTTATAGACATGACTACAATCATGATTACAACTCCTGAATAAGTCACATATACAGACATTTAGTCAATTTTGCCATTGTCAGCTACAGAGTTACTTGAATGTAGATTTGTTTTTGTGGGCTCCTGCTGCAGAAATTTGTCTCCCTCTCCTAAGATACTGTTCACAAAACTTGGGAACATAGCCATTGATACCTCCTGACCTTCCTTTTTACTAAAAAGAGTGAATGGACTGACAGTAAAGCCATTCTGATTGGGATCAGCACATGACTATGCTGATTAAAGGAGTAAATTCCAAGAACCTCCTGGTTTTGTCAGTTGTTTCTAATATACTATTGAATTCTCCTTGCCCAATGTTCCTTAAATGTTTATATTTTGAAACTTTTCTTTTTCAAGGAAAAAAATGAAATCATAGCTTGTATATAAGACCCTTTCTTCCCCCCATTCTCAAACCCTCGCCCAGTGGTACCATTACAAGTTAACTTTGGTTTGATTCTGCAGGTATATAACAGAGTTTGTAAACCTAGGCAATGTTTCAGCTCTACGCACTTTCAGGGTACTGAGGGCTTTGAAAACTATTTCGGTAATCCCAGGTAAGATGGTCCGGGGTTGGTGTTAGGTGTTGGGATAGGGCCCTGACGTGACGTATTGTACTTTTTGTTTTGTTGTGGTTTTGTTTTCTCCTTTGGTGTTTGTGTTTGTGTCTGTGTTTGTCATTTGTGTCTGTGTGTGACCTCCCTTACTACAGATATGTGACAGAGTTTGTGGACCTGGGCAATGTCTCAGCGCTGAGAACATTCAGGGTTCTCCGAGCTTTGAAAACTATCTCTGTAATTCCAGGTGAGAAAATTTGTACATAAGACTGAATTTGCCACATCTCCTCTTTCTCCTCCATTCATTTTTGTCCACCATTCTAAATCAGCATCAATACAGTTGATATGGCCTTGCATTCTGCATGTTTTTCCTGGGAGACATTCTCTGGAATGGTCGTTTGGTCCTCAGGCAGTTTTCTCTGAGTGCTTGCCAGGCATGCAGCCTCCATTCCATCCATGCTATTGAAAAAGCACGTGCTTCACAATCACTTGGATCTCACCATATTTAAAGAAATTGTCACGGAACTAGCTGTCTCTTTGTATATAAATCACTTGCTTCCTGGCTCCATGGAATTACAGTAATTTTGACATTTGCCGTCATTTCATTGCTTGTGATTTCTAGGCTTCCTGTCGCATGGTTTGTTGATGGAACGTTATTCAGAGAATTATACTTTTACTATTACTGTATTAATGGAATTTTTTGATCACAGAAGAGATCTACCCAATTAACTAATCCAGTATCAGAGACAAATTTAAGAGACTTGGAGTTAGTGAACTGCACTTACTGAATAATCACTGTCTATCATGTTCTACTGCTATCTGTCTCACTAGAATAAGAACCAGTAGACATCTCCTGTACTTATTCAGGGTTCATTCTCAAACGTAAATCCCAATGAAAGTTTATTCAGGCACTGTTAAAAAAAATCAAAGGTAAGATAAGATACAACTAAAGGTATGGGCAACAAAAAGTACAGAAGTTTGAGGGGGAAAAACAGAATCAGTGGGTGGGTTGAGAGTTAGTTGATTGACAATCTCTTTAAAATTTTTGCCTTTTTCTTTTTGGTTCTGGTTGAGCTAGCCCAGTGGTTCTTAACCTTTTGAAGGTTTGGATCCCTTTGAGAATCAGATGAAAGTTCACAGACCCCCCCTGAAGCCCATCCATGGACCCCAGGTTAAGATTCCTTAATTTAATTTAAATCATTGCTACTGGGTAATACTTATCTTTCTAAAGACAGTCTTGAAATCTTAAAGGAAAGATAATTTAGTGTTGTGAGTCTAAGATATACTGGCGCTGACTTGGCGGAGGTGAAGACTGTGTTGTTGCTCTTTGGACTTTCATTGTGTTCAAGGGGTTTCAAGAAAGACTCTGTAGAGACCAGGCTTTCTACAACAGTTTTGTACAAATAGGAATGTGGAGAAAGAACAGAGGCATCCTATTCTTGACATCACGTGGCTCTTCCCCTTGTAGCTGACTCAGAAATATATCTTTTTTAAAAATTCATTTTTATTTTATGTTTTAGAGACAGGGTCTCTCTCTGTTGCCCAGGCTGGAGTGTAGTGGTATAATGATGGCTCACTGCAGCCAGTGATCCTTCCTTCTCAGCCTTCCCAGTAGCTGGCACCCCAGGTGCATGCCACCACACCCAGCTCATTTAAAAAATATATATTTTGTAGAGACAGGGTATCCCTATGTTGCCTAGGCTGGCTGCCAAGTCCTGGGCTCAAGCAGTCTTCCTGCCTCAGCCTCCCAAAGTGCTGGGATTACAGGCATGAGCCACTGCATCTGGGCCAGAAATATTTTTTTTTCCCCCTTTTCAACATTATCTCAATAGCAGATAGAGAAGGAAGCACAAAGATAGAATCCTGGAGAGGGCAGTCTTGGAATATGGTTTACTGAGAACCTCAAAGAAGGTAAATTTATCTTCTCCACTTACAAATTTGGACCCTGGAGTGGGCCAGTAAATTAGTGCCCTATCAAAGATTAATTCCTTTATTTCTAGCAATGGTAGCTGCCTTCCTATCAGCCAAAGGTTGGCTGTCAGTTGGAGTATATACTTCTTGGCAAAAAACTGCAACCCTGACTTACCAAGATTTAGTTTCTAGCCATTTTAAATCTGCTTAAGCCCAGCTCATTCTCCACACAGCCTCAGATAGCTCACTGATGGTGGCCTAATCCTTAGGCAGGTCTTGTCTTATTTTTTGAGGCATCTGGAGTGTCAAATCTTTACTTTCATTTTTTCCTATGGTCTCTCTTCTCCTCTGGCCCCTTTTAAATATGATTTTGTGTTTTCTGCTCATTTCCCCCATCGTACTCTGCAAGGCATCTGTCTCTTTATGTTCTTGTGATCTCAAAACTTCTCTCCAGAATTAAATTGAAAAGCTGTATTCTGTTCACTAACTAGGGCAGCAGATGCTATCTGTAGTCTAACTCATAGTTTCTGTCTCTCTCTGCTATATGGTTAACTTTTGACCATGGCATTTCTGCAAGAACTCTTGACTGGTGTCACATTATTTATTCTTTATATATATCCTTAATATGTCATGTTATTTATCCTTTATATATGTATCTGGAACATATGCAGCATCTAACACAGTGCCTGGCCCATAGTAGTGTTCCATTGTAGTAGCAGCAGTTATTATTATAAAGAAGAAACCTAAGCCAATTGAAACGGTTTGTGTCAAGATTTAGACATCAACTTCAGCTTCACAGTTTGAAATAGAGTCCCAGATTCCTATTTCTAGAAGCACCTCCAATTGAGCTGGCTTTGGGAGGCTAACTGGGGTGGAAAATAACATTAAGGGATAGTAAAGCCAATAATAGATCACTGTCAGTAAGTGGTATATTTGGTTCTTGAATTAAGCGTAGCTCTCAATCTCAATCTTTTTGCTTCCCATTCTACCTTTTAGAGTTAGCAAGAGAAATCCAGTAATGAAGTTTCCCTCATGGGGAGTTTTCTCTCATCCTATGGGAAATTCTGAAATTGCTGATTATGCTTTCTCCCATAGAGGGCTGTTGTGCTGTTCCTACCTGCCTGCTATGAAATCTCCTTCCAAGGCGGGAGCACCAGTGTATGAGTCAGTGGATCTGGGCCATCTCTTGCTTGGAAGTCTAAGTCAGTTTGATTCTTGTGTGGTAGAGCTAGGCCATGGTTCCTCCTTAGTAAAAACCATTGTTTCGTATACCAAGTTTTCTCATGGATCACTTCAGTGGAATTGTTGCTCTGTTTGTCTTTTCTGGTTCCCAGTTTGGTTATAGGCTATTGCCAAGGGTGTCAAAAACAGAATGGAAGTGAGAGCAACCACTGACCTGGAGCCTGCAAGGTCTCACAAAGCCCCCCATGTGTCAAATTCCTTTATGAGAGCTTTTCCTTTCCTACAGCATTCACCCACCCCTGACCAGGGCTGATTCTGTCCTCCCTCTTCGGGTCTTTGGTAGATACTCTGAGTACGTCAGGGCCGCCAGGACTCCCAAGGAATGCACAGTAAGACGCATCAGTTAGCTCTGGCCTTTTCTATAAGAAATACCTTATTTTAGAGGTTTCTTGTAGCTCAGAAAAGACCAAATCCATCTTCTGACCCTTTTTACTTGCTAACTTGACTTGGATATATACTATTTATGGTTTCCATTTTGCTTCAGAGCCATGAACTTGGAGAAAAGTGTACACAAGCTCTGTGCTAAAAGGGTCAGTTATAGAGGTGACCCTTTCTAAATTTTCTTTAGTCTATAATTGGCCAGGTTCTCTTTGACATTGAAATATTCTGCCTAAAAGTTTTTATGTCTTAAAACTTTGTTTTCACTTTGTATTTGTCTGAGTCCTGCAGAAAGTGAACTTCTAAGTGACTCTGCCAGAAGTTTCGTCCTCTGCATGCTTTGATCATGTGCCACAGGGCTGACATGCCCAAAGAAAGGGTGAGAACCTCAAAACAGTTTCTCAGGGTTTTCTTAGACAGCAGGACTTGGTAGTGTAAGTATTAATAGAACTGGTTGGGAGAACCTCACTTGTCAGTGCTTTTTCATTTCTATCATTTAAATGGCTCCCCCAAAGCACTGCTTATCTACTGCTCATTAGCACTTATTTAATTTCATTCCAACGTCTTGAGAATTGTACCTTCTTGATTATTTTTCTCTTGGATATTTTATTTCGCTGCTTTCATTTCTGTTACTTTCACTCCTAACCAGTGGGATCAGACAGGAAGCAGGGAAAATGATAGGCCTTTCTTTTTCCCACTCCAGTTTTCACAAAGAAGGCATTTTCTTTAAATGTATACTCTGTGAATGTGGCAATTTCTGCTGCATAATGGTGGAAGATAGAAAGCATTTTAAGACTATATCCTGATTCATTGTCTCTGTTAAACTATTCTGGTTATTAATTCTATTGCCTTTGTATTTCTGCTTTTCCCACATTGCTTCTTAGGAAAGATAACTAAAGTTTACCAGTGGTCCTAAGTGAAAAAACACTAAATACTCGCAGGATTCCACTGACCCATCTTTGAGAGCTAGTTTAGTTTTGGTTACACTTTGTGCTGTAAATCCGGTCTCTAGTAAAGAAATCTAGAGTCCTCAAATCTCTTTCAAATTACTGTTACTCTGAAGAACCTTCAAGAACTATCACTGTAGGCTGGGTGCAGTGATACACACCTATAGTCCCAGCTAATCAGGAGGCTGACTCAGAGGATCACTTGAGCCCAGGAGTTTGAGGTTGCATTGAGCTGTGACCACACCTGTGAGTAGCCACTGCATTCCAACCTGGGCAGCTTAGTGAGATCTTGTCTCTAAATAAATAAGTAACTATTATTGCAAGGCTTGCAGTTGCAGCAGGAAAGTCAACACGACACTACTTTACCCCTGTGATTTGTCTGAACTCAAGCCTGACTCTGGGAACAGGGCAGTTGTTCTTTCCCTGGGTTGAGAACTGCTTGTTACTGCTACTGAAGCCTGTTTCAATATTAATTTTGTAAGGGAATTAGCTTACATTGCTTTAAACCACTTAAATTTCTCAACCTGAGCTACAAACTAGGGAATATGGATTAACTTTATTTATTTTATATATATATATATATATATATATATGTATATATGTGTATATATATGTATATATGTGTATATATGTATATATATGTATATATGTATATATATATATATATAGAGAGAGAGAGAGAGAGAGACAGAGAGAGAAAGAGAGAGAGGTTTTGCCCGTCACCCAGGCTGAGTGCAATGATGTGATCTCAGCTCACTGCAACCTCCGCCTTCTGGGTCCAAGCTATTCTCCTGCCTCAGGCTCCTGAGTAGCTAGGATTATAAGCATGTGCCACCACACCTGGCTAATTTTGTATTTTTAGTAGAGATGGGGTTTCACCACGTTGGCCAGGCTGGTCTTGAACTCCTGACCTCAGGTGATCCACCTGCCTCGGCCTCCCAAAGTGCTGAGATTACAGGCATGAGCCACCATGCCCAGCAAATTAGCTTTATTTATGATCTGGCCATCCCAGTGTTGAAAAATTTTGACCCCAATATGCATGACTGATGTCTCTGTACATAGCACATAGGCAGGCATTGTTCATTTATTCAAAGGATTCCTGGGCATTGTGAGAGGTTCAGAGGTACTTTTGGACATAGAGTAGAATTCTTCACCTGCTTCTCAAAATTCCTTAAATATCCAACTTTCCCTCCTGTCACTGACCATTCATTCTCTATATTGAATCCAGCTGTCTTTTCTTGGCCTATAGTAAATGTATTAACTGTTTCTACTCACACACACACCAAAGTGAGCTAATGTTAGCCTTTTCCAAGAGTTCTCACTGTCCAGTTTGCCCCCACTTGGCTTCTGTCGCACCCTCTGTTGTGTAGGAGTCTTTTGAAGAAGCATTCTGCTCTGTTTGGGATAATTGGTTTTCAGTCAGTATCTTGCTTGTTCTGGCATGTGATGTTGTGAGCCAATAGAATAAAAAGACAGTGTCTCTGTACCGCCAGAATGGTGGCATTCTACATTTCTGGCTTGTATCAGGTCAGGAATTCTGCTAACAGCTTCTTGCCTTTATTGACAGGTATTGATGGTATGAGGGAGAACTTTCAGGCAGTCACAGCTGGCAAGACAATAGAGCTTGAGCTTAAGAAATGACTTGACGATGGCATCTTCATAAATTCGGATTGATGCCTGCAAATATGGCCATTTGCAATTAATCCTAATGGAAGGAAGAAAAGTCTTGGCTGAGACCAATGTATAGTTCAGTGATTGTTTATATTTAATATTGCTGTGTGGTCATGTGCCTTCCTTTACCTGAAAACATTAAGACACATCACCTTTCTTCTTCTTTTTCCTTTGCCTTCTCATTTTCTCTTGGTGATCTGGATGGGAATCTTGGAATCTAAACTTTTTAGATGGCTGTCATTAATGTTATTTAGTGATTATCCTTGCTTAATTAAGATTTGTTTCTCTGACATGCTGTGAAGTATAAGCAGCTGAATACCATTTCCAATTAAGTTTCTACTTTAAACATTTGAAAGCTAACTCACCAATGAGATCATCTAAGCCCCAGATTTCAAAGCTGAGGCTTGAAAAGTGTCTTTTTAGCTTTCTCGACTCAAGTTTACACACTTCTTCAGCAATAACATCTGGCTTATGGAGAAGAAATGTTAAACCAGCTGACTGTGGTGAGCATTTAGGTGCATCCCCAGGAAAGTGGTGAGTTATGTGAGATTAGTTGGGGTCATTTCTGGTTGCAAGTAACAGGACACAGGAATGATTCAGGGAACCTAAAGGCTGGAATGCACTTGGGCTTCTGGGAAGCCAGTAGAAACCAGAATGCAGAGCCAGAAAGCCACAGGTACCAGGAAGTACTTTGTCTCCATCTCTCTTCTCCCCAAGTGTCTATTTCTCTCTCTCAGCATACTAACTTCCTTTACTTCTCAGTCGTATCTTAATATGACAGAATATGGCTACCACTTAGTTTCCAAATTTATTTATTACATTCCCACCACATGAAAAGATTGCTCAACTGTCTCTTACCCTGTTCCAAATTCCCGTAGGAAAGGATCTGGCTTTAGGTCAGATGTCCACCCAGGCATCTGCAACTGCTGAGAGAAGGTGACCTTGTACAGACATGGCTGCTGAGAGGTCATTCTTATGGAACAGGAGATAGTTGGAGCTCATGGCCTAGAATTTCCAGTTATATAGGTCTGGAATTGTCCAAGAGTTTCCAGCCCAGGAAAATCAGATTCTACTCATGCTAAAAGTGTATGCTTTTCAAATTATTTACTTACAAACTCAAATTATTTACTTACAAAATTGGTTTGGCGATTTAATAGTATTATACTCTTGTTACTAATACAGAGGACAGCTTACAGCTCATTTCTCAATTCAGTAAAATAGCGATGGTAAAGTCCTTTAACAGTCATCTGGTGTTTTAAAAGGTGATTGTCTGAATCGTCTGGAGAGATGGCTGTATAAGTCTCATAACAAAGTCCAGGAAAAGAAACTCTACAACCATTTTTAGTGACCCTTTCAAGTATTCTTTTTTAAATCAGTCTTTGACTTGAAAATAGTAAGCTTGCATAATTTTAAAAGCCTGGGATTGAATTATTGACTCAATATAGACCCCCTCCACCCAGTCAAAATATAATGAGGACTTCTGTGTTCCTTAGCAGCTGAATGGAAATAAATTCCATTTCACTGGAACAATTTTTACTTCTTGGTGGCTGCTTTTTACTTTATTTCACCAGTGACTTCTTACCTAGCTGTGTGATTATGGTACGATTTTCCAGGGCCTTAGGTTTAAAAGATAGTTTGGAGTTTCAGTTTCTTAATCTCAAACAAATAAACATCTCTGCCTTATTCTGAAAGACTTTTAGAGAAGATTCTTCAGCTTCTCCACCACTGCCCACTGCTATGTAGCGCTATGTTTATCCAGGTTCTGTAGATGAGAAAATGAGACCCTGAGAAGTAACCTTAAATTCTATTTGAAACACAATAGGTCATAAGCAGTGACTGGGCCAGGACCAGAATACCAGCTTTCTGATTCCCTGTCTAATGCTTCTTTTTGCACAGCCCCATGAGGAGAAAAATAATCAGATTAGAAATGCTTTGTTTCCTGGAGCCCAGGCAGGCTCTTCATAATTTCTTTGTGGCCACAGTCTCCATGTAAGGCTCTTTGTTGGCCATGTCCTGTGGATAACCTGATATCTGGGCACATAAAGACTCATTTGGACCCAAAAAGCATGAACCTACAATCATATTTTTCTGTATCTCCTATCACTTCTCCCTGTGCAATTAAGAAATATACCTTCAGTCTACATTTGAGCCAGTGTCTTGCATTTAAACTTCAAATTAAAAATTTTTTTTTTATTATTATTTTTATTATTTTATTTATTTTTTTTTTTTTGAGACGGAGTTTCACTCTTGTTACCCAGGCTGGAGTGCAATGGCATGATATCGGCTCACCGCAACCTCCGCCTCCTGGGTTCAGGCAATTCTCCTGCCTCAGCCTCCTGAGTAGCTGGGATTACAGGCACGCGCCACCATGCCCAGCTAATTTTTTGTATTTTTAGTAGAGATGGGGTTTCACTATGTTGACCAGGTTGGTCTCAATCTCTCGACCTTGTGATCCACCCGCCTCGGCCTCCCAAAGTGCTGGGATTACAGGCTTGAGCCACCGCGCCCGGCCCCTAAAAATTTTTTTATGTTTTTGTTTTTAATTTAGGACAGAAAAAAGATAATTGTAGAAAGCAGGGGAATATATGTGATACGGAAAAAGTGTATTTTTAAATGGAAAAAGACAAAGTATAAATACTGGATTAATAATAACCTTTTCAATACTCTGGCATTTCCAGAGTCCTTGGCAAAATATTATTGTACCTTCTCACTTATTATTGGCTTTTAAACTTCCCAGTGGTTTTCTTTCCACCTGGAGACCTCCTCAATTCCTGATTTTTCCATTTGTTTCTTTGACGAATATTTGCTGAATACCTACTGTGGGCTAGGCACTGTAGACCCTGCTGTGAACACAATAGATGTAAAACATCAATTATAACCGTAATAAATGCTACAGAAGAAAGTATAAGATGCTACTGAGACACTAGTAACAATGGGGAGGGAGAAGAGTGGCAAAGTCAGAAAAGGCTTTTCTGGAAGAATTGATGTTTGAACTGACCTTGAAGGATGAGTAGGAGTTAGGCAAAGAGGACAAGGTAATATAACAGGGAGCATTCCAGGCAGAGGGAGCAGCAGGTATGAAGGCCCTAAGGCAAGTAAGAGCTTGGCTCTTGTGGGGAACTAAAAAGTAGTCAGAGACGGGAAAGCGTTCCCAGGAAGAAGGGGGCCACATGTTGTTGGTAGAAGGAGCTTTGTTTTGCTTTTTCAGATGTATTCACCTAAAAATGGATACTTCCGGAATATTTATTTTTATTTTTATTTTTGCTGACCTGTTATTATTCTCATGGTATAAAAATAAAGTGGCCATGTTTCAAGAGTGGTGCTGTGGGGAGGAGTAGCAGCCAGTGGCTAAGAGGGAGGCTGGGGGAGGTGGGGAGGGCTTTGGGGTGCCTCTGATTCCAGGGATTCTGTCTCCTCAGGTCTGAAGACAATTGTGGGTGCCCTGATTCAGTCTGTGAAGAAACTGTCAGATGTGATGATCCTGACAGTGTTCTGCCTGAGTGTTTTTGCCTTGATCGGACTGCAGCTGTTCATGGGGAACCTTCGAAACAAGTGTGTTGTGTGGCCCATAAACTTCAATGAGAGCTATCTTGAAAATGGCACCAAAGGCTTTGATTGGGAAGAGTATATCAACAATAAAAGTAGGTGGCCTCTTCTCTGCAAGAGGAATAGGAAAAGTCTGTTACTAGTTCACATGGTCAGAAGCTACCACAGGGCTTTAAAAAGTAGTTGTAGGCTGGGCGTGGTGGCTCACGCCTGTAGTCCCAGGATTTGGGGAGGCTGAGGCAGGCAGATCACCTGAGGTCAGGAGTTTGAGGCCATCCTGGCCAACATGGAGAAAGTGCATCTCTACTAAAAATACAAAATTTGCTGGGCGTGGTGGTGCATGCCTGTAATCCCAGCTACTCTGAAGGCTGAAGCAGGAGAATCGCTTGAACCCAGGAGATGGAGGTTGCGGTGAGCCGAGATCACACCATTGCCCTCCAGCCTGTGTAGGAAACGAGTGAAATTCCATCTCTAAAGAAAGAAAGTAGTTGGAGATGGAAAGGAATGGCAGTGCTACTAGAACTAGCCCTGTGAAATTATTCCTTTCCTCGAGGTAGGATTGTGTTCAGAAGCTGTTGAACATCAGCCCTTTCTCCCTTCTTCACATATACTCCTAAACTTTTGCTTTGAAATTTAGGCTTAGAAGCTTGATAAAAATTATTTTTTCCCTAGCTGAGTTACTTAGGATATTTAAACATTTAGTCCAGAATGTATCTGTGGAACTCAAGTTTTCTTAAATATTACTAAGACTATCGCAGTCTACCTAGCCTAGGGAATCACACGATCTCCAAGGCACTATTCAAATCCCATTACAGTTAGGGAGTTTTAATCATTTTATTTGAGGAACCAAAGTACTTAGGTCTTTTCTTAAGGAAACTTTGATGTAATGATATTGCTTTAGACTCATGAAAAAAAGTTAGTGATGTCACTATTAGTCATTCCTGAGAAAATAAAGTCAGTTTAGTAGCCACAGGAAAATGTTGCAAAAGGCCAGGCATGGTGGCTCATGCCTGTAATCCCAGCACTTTGGGAGGCCGAGGCGGCTGGATCACCTGAAGGTCAGGAGTTCAAGACCACCCTGGGCAACATGATGAAACCCTGTCTCTACTAAAAATACAAAAAAAAATTAGCTGGGCGTGGTGGCTTATGCCTATAATCCCAACTACTTGGGAGGCTGAGGCAAGAGAATTGCTTGAACCTGCGAAGTGGAGATTGCAGTGAGCCGAGACCACGCCATTGCACTCCAGCGTGGGCAGCAAGAACCAAACTCTGTCTCAAAAAAAAAAAGAAAGAAAGAAAAAAGAAAATGTTACAAAGAATAGAGTGGTATAAAGGGCTTTAGAACTCAGAAAACTTAGTTTTAGGCCCTTTTGTTTCAAGTACCAGAGTCTAGCAAATAGATTTGAAGTATGAATGAAAGTTAGGTATCTGCGAAAACTATATTGCATCAAGGACTTTGGGGTAGCACTTTTAATTTGTAAATATTTATAAGAAAATCATTAATGGGAAAGAATTCTTACCAGCTGCCACAGCCATTGGAAAAGATTTATGAGCTAAAGTCAGTAACTGTTTCTGCTGGGGCTAGTTAGGAACAGTGTAACCTTATTCTCTGATTCGCTTAAATCTGCCTGTTCATTTCCTGCCTCTTCAAACTTTTCTAGCAAATTTCTACACAGTTCCTGGCATGCTAGAACCTTTACTCTGTGGGAACAGTTCTGATGCTGGGTAAGTAGCTCACCTAGTTTTATTCTCTTTCCTTAAAATAATGTACCTATTATTAGTTGGGTCAAAATAGGCAATATTTTTACTTTTCTTCGTGCTCACGTAGTAGACCTTACAATTGCATGTGACCTATCGGTTGACATATATTTTCTTTCTGTTTCATATTTGTCCATCTAAAGTTGACATTTTACTAGTAAGTGACTATGCTTGTAGTCTCAAGCCAAAATCAAAGAACCTAAGGATAGAATCAATAATACCTGCCTCTTGGGGACTCCTCTCATCCTATAGTGCGGTAGAGAGTAAAGATACCATCTTAGTGATAATTATGCATCCTAGGATGACCCAAAATATGCTTGACCTGACAGCATAGAGGAGGAAAAAGAGTAGCTACTCAAATACGACTCAAATGTAGTATTTGATTCCTGATCGTGATACTTCCTGCTCTGAGACCTTTGGCTAGCCATTTAACGATATCTGAGCCTTGATTTTTTTTCTTCCATAAAATGGATTTATTTAATAAGCCATGCTCTCTCTTCCTCACATTGGTTACTGTAAAGATCCACTTACATTACATGAAAGTGCTTTGTAAACAGAGGGCTTTATAAATGTAGGGTGGTGGTAGTGTCATTTCTCAGAGTATATTGGTCCTCTAAGAACTGGTATTTTAACATGACCACAGTATCTAGAAGCCCATTTAAGTTCTATATTAAAGTAGACTACTAGAAATTACATTGAAAGAAATGTGAGGTGAATCTAAAAGCAGGAGAAATGGTGTAACCAAGGTCACTGAAATGTCCATTATGACTTAGGTTGTCACAGTGAGTGTAAAGAAAACAAAGATGATTAAGAGGAACTTCTAGCTGTTTGTCATTTGGGATTGTAGCTAAGTTAAATTTGATCGAATTACACATTGATATGAATCTAGAACAATACTTCTCGCACTTTGGCATGCATAGGAATCACCTGGCGTATCTTTTAAAAATTCAGATTCATAGATCCCATATCCAGAACTTTTTAATTCCTGGATTTGGGAAAGGACACAGGAATCTGCATTTTTAAAGGACATGCCAGGTGATTCTTATAGTAGGCTGTCCCCAAAAGTTGGCTAGCTGCTTACTTCCTTCTTTTTCTTTTTCTTCCAGTTTGTTAGCCTGGCTCTATCGATGGTTATTTATTACCTCCAAGGTCATGGAGTAAATAGAATTATGTTATTTATTATCTCCAAGGTCATGGCTGGGTGGAATTATGTTGAAAAGTCCTAAACTTCCCTATCTTCCTTCAGGCAATGCCCAGAGGGATACCAGTGTATGAAAGCAGGAAGGAACCCCAACTATGGTTACACAAGCTTTGACACTTTTAGCTGGGCCTTCTTGGCATTATTTCGCCTTATGACCCAGGACTATTGGGAAAACTTGTATCAGCTGGTGAGTACTACCTCTTTTCCTTTGGTCATAAAGTTTACCATGAGCATATATGGGGTTGGGGACATTCTATGCGAGCATATATGGGGTTGGGGACATTCTGTGTGAGCATATATGGGGCTGGGGACATTCACCGTTAGTGAAGATATTATTCAAGATATAATTGTTGTGTTTCCCACCGTCAGCTGGTTTTTGATATTAAGTGAATTCTGTCAGTTCTCGTCCCCATTTTTAATGTTCAGTCATGTATAGCTGTAGGCGCTTACAGCCTTGACAGCCTCTTGTCTGGCCTGGGAATCTGCTATCTCTATCTACTTCCTGTTGTTCATTCTCTGCAGCATATCACCTTTTGGATAGTTGGGCTTAGGGTATCTTTTTTGTTTTGTTTTGTTTTTGAGGTAGGTACTACAGCATGTACCACCACACCTGGCTGATATTTCTACTTTTTGGAAAGTTGGGGTTTCACTCTGTTGCCCAGGCTGGTCTTAGAACCTCTGGTCTCAAGTGATCCTCCCACTGTGGCCTCCCAAAGTGCTGAGATTATAGGCATGAGGCACCATTAGGGCATCTGTTTAAGAAATATCAAACACCTCTGTGCAAGGCACTGTATAGATGGAATTTCCATAAGGACCTTGGAGTATAAATATATCAACATTTTTGAGATTTGTAACACATTTGGACTTGTTCAAGCAGGTTGTGCAGATAAAAATAAAGTCAGTAACACTCTGTGGGGCTACAGTGGTGACTCTGGACAAGTCATTTAACTTTGCTGGTTGTAATGAAGTTAGTGTAACTATTTGCTAAGAGTCTTACAGCTTAGAAATTTTTTGACAGTCCATTGTTTTTTCTTTGACTCTGTCATTTGATGATGCCAGTTACTTTGAAAATGAAAAACATGTCCCCTCAGGCATGAAGGAACCTCTTTAAGGGAAGTTTCTAGTTCAAATCTCTGAGTTAATTCTTACCTTTCTGTTGGACAGCCTGGAGTTCCCTCAGGTTGAATCTTTCTCATGAAATATTTGTGATTGATGCTAACTTGCTTACTTTCTTTTTTTCTTCCTTTTCTTCTTTTTTTTTTCATGGAATTTTGTTCTTGTTGCCCAGGCTGGAGTGCAGTGGTGCGATCTTGGCTCACTGCAATCTCCAATTCCCAGGTTCAAGTGATTCTTCTGCCTTGGCCTCCCAAGTAGCTGCAATTACAAGCACGCAGCACCACACCCAGCTAATTTTTGTGTTTTTAGTAGAGATGAGGTTTCACCATGATGGTTGTCCAGGCTAGTCTCAAACCTGACCTCAGGTGATCCGCCCATCTTGGCATCCCAAAGTGCTGGGATTACAGATGTGAGCCACCACACCTGGACCATTTTGTGGTAAACAGAATAAAGATGAAAATTCCGTAATAGTGGGTTGCATGTACATAACGTAAAGCCCAGTTTCCTTCTGCTTTCTTTTTCTCCCCACTATCCTTCATGTCCTACATTCATATCCTTTTAAAACTCCTCCTATTGCAAAAGAATAAGGAAGAGTGTCACTCAGGATGGGAATTTCCTGGCCGGGCACAGTGGCTCATGCCTGTAATCCCAGCACTTTGAGAGGCTGAGGTGAGTGGATCACTTGAGGCCAGGAGTTTAAGACCAACCTGGTAAACATGGTAAAACCCCATCTCTACTAAAAATACAAAAATTAGCCAGACAGGGTGGCACATTCCTGTAATCCCAGCTATTTAGGAGGCTGAGGTGGGATAATTGCTTGAACCTGGGTGGCAGAGATTGCAGTGAGCCGAGATCATGCTACTGCACTCCAGCCTGGGCAATAGAGTGAGACTCGATCTTAAAAAAATTAAAAAAAGATGGATTTCCTACAACTTGGACCTGATTTCAGAGACACAATTTGTTTGTTAATGCTATTTGAAGACTAGTAGATTAATAAGGTGCAGTTTTGTATTCTTTTCTTTATTATTGTCTTAGCCCAAAACCAAACTTTTTTTATGAAAGGAGTATATAGGGAATATTTAGAAATGGAAGGGGATTTTTTTGTTGTTGCAGTGGTTGGGAGATAACTACTGCCATTTAATGTGAGTTGAGGATAAGCGAAACCGTTCAACCTTTGGGAGTACTAAGTGTCCACAATAGGAAAGAGTACTGCACAAGGAAAGACAGTCCTGTTCACAGTGCAAATGGTGTCCCAAAGAGGAACTCGGCCCATTAGTTGTTCTCAGCCTGGTTCATCATTTGGTACAAGTGACTCAGAAAATGGTCCTTGTCTTTGCAGACCTTACGAGCAGCTGGGAAAACATACATGATCTTCTTTGTCTTGGTCATCTTTGTGGGTTCTTTCTATCTGGTGAACTTGATCTTGGCTGTGGTGGCCATGGCTTATGAAGAACAGAATCAGGCAACACTGGAGGAGGCAGAGCAAAAAGAGGCTGAATTTAAAGCAATGTTGGAGCAACTTAAGAAGCAACAGGAAGAGGCACAGGTTGGTGATGAATTATTTGCAACAGACCTTCCTGCCAGATCATGGTGACTAAGGCCCCATCTGATTTTCACTGCAGTTGATCTTTTCTAGGCATATTTTCAAATAGAGGTCATTGAGCTGATGAAAATAACCCAAGTAACAACTGCAGATGGTTGATCCAATTATTCCATTTGTCTTAACGGCCAGATTGTTTGTTCATATCATCTTTTGTTGAATTTCTCAACTGTTCAGTGTGCAACCACTATGATGACTGGGAAGAAAAAAGTGATGAGGGTAGTTTATATAGTGCTTCACATAAGCATATTCTTTTTGTTGGGAAAAATGTTAAGATTCATGTGGTCATAGAAAGTATTATTTCTAATTAAAAAGAAGATACAGGCAAAATATTATAAAGTAAGATTTGAAAAACATTTGTGATCTCATCACCGTAACACTTAACTTTCTAATCCTCATCTAAATATACATGCATTTGTTCTTTGTTAGGACCCATAATAAACATTCATAATAATAAATAAGTGTTTCTTAGCATTCATTTCCAGACTTGCTCAGAAGGGATCCTCTGGTAGCAGGGCAGCAGCCAAGTTCTTGGCTGAAATGCTCATGAGAATAACTCCTAAAGTTCTCACCACTGGGTTCTGCTCTGTTCACTTAGGGCTGTGTGCCAGAATACACAGAAACTCTCTAACAGTCTGGGTTTCCCTCTTCCTTTTTTCCTTTCTTTCCCATAGGAAGGGAAATGTTCTGTACCAACTGGTTGGCTTTGGGTGGCTTGAGTTAATTGCCCTGGTCTGATGTGTTGCTGTGGCTTCTTTCCTAGGCTGCTGCGATGGCCACTTCAGCAGGAACTGTCTCAGAAGATGCCATAGAGGAAGAAGGTGAAGAAGGAGAGGGCTCCCCTCGGAGCTCTTCTGAACTTTCTAAACTCAGTTCAAAGAGTGCAAAGGAAAGACGTAACAGAAGAAAGAAGAGGAAGCAAAAGGAACTCTCTGAAGGAGAAGAGAAAGGGGATCCTGAGAAGGTGTTTAAGTCAGAGTCAGAAGATGGCATGAGAAGGAAGGCCTTTCGGCTGCCAGACAACAGAATAGGGAGGAAATTTTCCATCATGAATCAGGTAAACTCTTCTTTTTGCCTATACCTTTTTTAAAAAATTTATCTTTTAGTAAGGTAAAATGAAACATTTTAGGACATCTTATTAGAGCATGGCAAGTTCTACTTACTAATTATTCTGGATATATCATGTCACACTGATAAGTTAGCCTATGATAGATTAAAAGCCTCCAGTTGTTCCCAACTTTGATAAATAAGGAAACTAAGAAAAAAAGAGAAGAGAGGATTTAGGTAATTGTTGAGCGTTCTATTACTACAGATGTCATCACATAAATAGGTATTTTTGGATTTCAGCGAACGCCACCAAAATCCAATTCTTAGGCCATTTAATTTCCCATTTTAAAGAAATGCTGGAAAGTTGGTAGGTATAGAATATAGTTACTGTTTATGGCAGTATATTCGGTGTCTTTTCTTTTTTCCCAGAGATGATTCATTTTCCCACTTGCATCTCTCACTTCCCATTTCAGTCTTTTGCCAGTCTTGTTCATTTCAGGGGTTGAGCAAAATTCCTCATGTCCATCCCCTTCTTTCCGTTCCTTAACCTTATCTGAGTTTTGGCTTTGTGATTGTATTATTTTGTTCACTGCATTTGTTCAGTTTTGTTTTCTCTAGTCTTGCTTCTTCTCCTTTGTGTTTTTTTGTTTTTTTTTCTCTCTCTTTTTTTTTTTTTTTTTTTTTTTTTTTGTGACGGAGTTTCACTCTTGTTACCCAGGCTGGAGTGCCATGGCGCGATCTCGGCTCACCGCAACCTCCGCCTCCTGGGTTCAGGCAATTCTCCTGCCTCAGCCTCCTGAGTAGCTGTTGTGTTTTATATACTGTCAACAGATCACGTCCTAAAATGTAGTTCTCATAATTCATGTAGTAAGCATTTATGAAGTACCTACCACATATCAAGGATTGTGCTAGGTCCTAGGGCTTAAAAGGTGATTAAAATATCACTTCTACCCTAGAGAGTTTACGGTACAGTGAGGCAGCCGAATACACTAAAAAATTACTTATGTAATAGCATCAGCAGTATTATTCCATAATTGAGATATGCTGGGGGTGTTAGAAAAGCATAGGTCTATCCCAACATGGAGATTCAGTAAAGATTTTCTGGGAAAGGTAAATTTCCGAACTGAGGCTTAAAGGATACACAGGAATTAGGTAGTTTTCGTGTGTGTTGCTGAGGGAGTAATATGAAAAAAAGGACAGTCCAGGTTTAGAAGGGAAGCATATTCCAGTTTAGACATTCAGAGTTTGAATTATTTTTTGAATATCCAAGTAGAGATTTTTTTTTTTTTTTTTTTTTTTTTTTTTTAGACAAGGATAGGCAAATGATAGCTCAGGGAAGAGGTCTTGAGCTGAAAGGTGGGGACTGAAACCATGACACTTGAGAATGTGTCTGTTGGAAGAATAGTGAGCCAAAGACATGACCATTGCTGTTCACCAGCATAGGAGATGGAGTTCAGGAAAGAAAACAGATGAGCAATGTAAGAGGAGCTGAGAGGGCCAAGAGTTCAGTGGAGTCAGGAGAGTAGCAGTGTTGGAGAAGGCAGGGCAGTGATCAATGGGCTGAAATTTAATGGAGATGCTTGGTGAGATCAAAATTGAAAGCGTCCATTGGATTTGGCAATATAAAGTCACTGAGGACTTTAAAGACCTGTTTTAATCCAGAGAGAGGAAGGATGCCATGTTGAGTGGAGAGTGGAGACAGAGAGTATAGACTTCTCATTCCAACTTCTTGAAAGAGTGTGGGTGGAAACAAGCATGTTATAATCTGTGGGGGGAAAAAAAACAGAAAAGGGAGAAGCAGGGTTAGAAAATGAAATAGAATAGATAGAAGTAGAGCACAATCTTGGAAGATATGGAAATAGATGTAGTCTTTAACAGAATAGGGACTCTTATTCCCTGAAACCTTAAGAAAATAGGGAAGGATGAGGCAGATAAGTTGTAGGAAAGGAGTATGAAGTTGAGGAAGATAAGCCCTGACAGTTTCGTCTTTTTGGTAATGTCAGGAATTAAAAATCAAGGCGTTTGAGACCAGCCTGGGCAACATAGTGAGACCTCTGTCTCTACAAAAAATAAATTAGGCCGGATGCGGTGGCTCACACTTACAATCCCAGTACTTTGGGAGGCTGAGGCAGGTGGATCACAAGGTCAGGAGTTTGAGACCAGCCTAGCCAGGATGGTGAAACCCCTTCTTTACTAAAAATCCAACAATTAGCTGGGCGCGGTAGTGGGTTCCTGTAATCCCAGCTACTTGGCAGGCTGAGGCAGGAGAATCACTTGAACCTGCGAGGCTGAGATTGCAGTGAGCTGAGATTGCACCATTGCACTGTAGCCTGGGCGACAGGAAGACTGTCTCAAAAAAAAAATATTAGTTTTTTGATAATGTAGGGAATTAAACATCTTATTGAAGGGAATGAGATATTGCATTTGGAGGTTTAAAGGAAATACTAACAGTTTAGAATAGCTGAGACTCCATCTAAAAAATTGGCCAGGCATGGTGGCACATGCCTGTAATCCCAGCTACTCAGGAGGCTGAGGCGGGAACATCACTTGAGCACGGGAGGTTGAGGCTATAGTGAGCTGTGATTTTACCACTACACTCCAGCCTGGGCAACAGAACAAGACCCTGTCTCAAAAAAGAAAAAAATTAAAATTAAATGCCCTATTTTTCTTTCTCTGAATTTCTATGTCATAATTATTCTTGGTGTCTTCCTCTTAAGAAACCTTCCCTGACTCCCTTGTTTTCTAGTTGGAAATCATTTCATCTTTCCATTATGTTTTACATGTACCTCTTTATTTGTTGCTTTTTAATCTACATAGAAAGCATTCTACATATACTCTGTGTGTATATTTATTTATGTTTATATCCCCTTCTCAAATAAAGTCTTAAAGTCAAGGTCTGCTTCTTAGCACATAGCTAGATATTGTTAGACAAATGAATACAAGACTTAGAAATTTGCTTTAACCCTTTCTGAGACTTCTTTATAGCCTGAGGCCATCTCTATCTCACCTTTACCTCACCTTTCTTCTTGTTCAGCCTCTTTTGGGGAAAGTATGACTGCAGCTTTGTTGTAATCTTACCCGTGTCTTGAGACACTGAGCTGTGAATACCTTAGTGCTGTTAATGCTTTGCTATTGAATGGTCTCTGATTATTCTATAGGCTTTAGTACAAAGGTGCACTGATTGCTCTTTACCTCAAAAAATGAAACCAGGCTTTTGAGATGTCTTGTTTTGCATGAAAATATTCACTTTGTCTAATTTCCCTCATTCAAAAAAAAAAAAAAAAATAGTAAATTCCTAGAGGCCAAGGCCGACTGCCAAGACTTGCTTAGATGCTCCAAGGACTAGAAGGACTTTCCTTCAGTTTCTCAGGAAGAGTGACTGAGGACATCAAGGCCTAGAAAGATTAACTTATGTAACTAGTTATATAACTAGTAAGTATTCAAGTCAAGATTTGAACCAGGCTCATCCAACTCCAGAGCTTGTGCATGATCATCAAATGATTCTTTCACTTTGACCTCCCAAAGTGCTGGGATTACAGGTGTGAGCCACTGTACTGACCAACAGGACATTTTAGAGAGGATGTTTCTGGAGCAAAGCACAGAGGGTAGAAAACAAACATCATATATGAGAAATACCTAGTAGCTCATTCTGGTTTAGGTATAGGGTGATTGATAGGGCCCAGAGACTGGAGAATGAACACATAGGTTGTGTCCATACTAAGGGCTGGGGAATGCTATGAATTCCAGGCTAAGGATTTGGGACTTAATTAGCAAATAGAATGAATCATTGTAAGCCTCATCTTGACAGACAATTTATGTGTATCCCCTGAAATCCCTAGAGACAATTTTTATGTGGAATGTGAAGGTTATACCCTCAAATCCAGAACACCCCAGAGCCATTCTCCCAAGCAAACATCTAAACCTAAGTTGGAATTTTTAGTTTAACTGTGACTGCCTGAAAAGGACTAAAAACTCCTGGTTGGTTGACAGGAAGATTTTTAAAAACTGGAAGTAAGGCCTGCTCGTCTCATAAACTACACAGGATCCAAGGAATTAATAGAGCCATGGGTCCTGAGTCATCACTGAAACCCTCCAGGAAAGTTGAGACTGGGGAAGGGTTGGGGTTTTAGCCCTCAGGATGTAGCTCCTTAGGAAATGGCCTAAATCAGTGATGGACCCTAGGTACACGGAGAAATGGGGCGAGTCACCTTTTCCCCTTTCACATTTGTTCATTGCAGTCTACTCTTTTGCCAAGAGTGAAACAAGGAGTTAGAAAAGAAAGCAATAGAACAGTTTTTCCTTGTATTGTATATTATCTTAGGATCCTGATTTTTAAGTGTTTATAAGTTCACTGAATTGGTCATGGTCTTCATCCCTGTCTTATCATCCTTCTCACTATCCTTAAGGTTAAGAATTGTATGATGTATTAGATCTCATGTAGTATATGATACTTCCTCCTGACCTGCAAGTATCAAGAGGGTAGGGACCATGTCATATGTCTTGTTCACCACTGTTTCCATACCACTTAGCACACAATAGGTATTTGGTTAAATAAAATTAAATTTTAGCCAGGCGCAGTGGCTCATGCCTGTAATCCTGGCACTTTGGGAGGCTGAAGTAGGCAGATCACTTGAGACCAGATCACTTGAGGCTGAGGCATGAGAATAGCTTAAATCTGGGAGGCAGAGGTTCCAGTGAGCCAAGATTATACCACTGCACTCCAGCCTGGGTGACAGAGTGAATCTCTATCTAAAAAAAAATTAAAAATTAAAAAAAAATAAAATATATATATTTATATATAAAATTGCATTTTATTTTAAGATTTGTAAAACCTCTTTCCTAATGTACCAAGTAGTGTTAGCACCCAGCATTGACCTAAGGCAAAATTATGAGTTCAGTTTAGTTTAGCTTGCTGTGAGAAGTGAGGCAGTGACCCAGTGCAGGTGTGGAACAACCCTACAGTGGGTGACTAAGCTGCAGTATCTAATCTAAATGCATGTTAATTAAGTTAAACTTTGTATTTACTATGTACAAAGCTTGCTGGGAGATATAAGGATGAATCAGTCAGTGTGCCCTTAAGGAGTTTGTAGTTGATTAAAAAGGAGAGATAGAGCATGTATATGAAGAACTGTTGTAAAAAGTAGAGCATAGGCCAGGTGCAGTGGCTCACGCCTGTAATCCCAGCACTTTGGGAGGCCAAGGCAGGAGGATCGCTTTAGCCCAGGAATTTGAGACCAGCCTGAGCAACATGGCAAAACCTCCTATCTACAGAAAATATAAAAATTAGCCAGGTGTGGTGTGGCACACACCTGTAGTTCCAGCTGCTCGGGAGGCTGAGGTGAGAGGATCACTTCAGCCCAGGAGGTTGAGGCTGCAGTGAGTGATTGCACCATTGCACTCCAGCCCAGGCAACAGAGTGAGACCTTGACTTGAAGAAAAAGATAAAAAATAAAGTAGAGCATAAATATTCTGAAAGGGGATTTGGTGCTATGTAAAGATTAAGGAAGTTAGTAGAGGAAGAAGCAGAAGGGCTGGATCATGGAGAACTAAGAGGATTTCCCCAGCTGAAAATGGAGCATGTAATGGAAAGGAGGAAATAAAGACTAGCAGGCAGGGTGGCTGCGTGGTAGGGTGTATGAGAAAACAGTGAAAGATTAGAATAAGTAAACTAGAGTCAAAGCTGGGAGGGTCTTGAGTGCCATTTTTAGGGCAGTGACAGTGTTAAAGGTGATTGTGGCAGTTAGCAAGGGGGCCATGAATACCTGAGTCCTGTGTTGTCTTAACCGTATTTCTCCCCAGTGAGAGAAATGGATCATCTGACGTCAGGAGTTCAAGACCAGCCTGGCCAACATGGTGAAACCCTGTCTCTACTAAAAGTACAAAAATTAGCTAGGCATGGTGGTGAATGCCTGTAATCTCAGCTGCTAGGGTGACCGAGGCAGGAGAATCGCTTGAACTGGGGAGGTGGAGGTTGCAGTGAGTCAGTATAGCACCATTGCACTCCAGCCTGGGCGACAAGAGTGAAACTCCATCTCAAAAAACAATATATATACACAATAGTTTTATATATTTATATATAATAAATAAATTCTGTCTTTTTGCCCAGTGTGGCATAGTCTAACTTAAGTTAAAGACACTTCCTCTGAGCCCATGGTAAAAAGAAATACACACAGCCATGTGCTTCCCCCTGGATAAGTTGCATACAACATGGGATAAAAGCGTCTTAGGGATGGGTCCAAGGAGCAGTGGATAAACGTTTCGAATCGGTAACTGGTCAAGCACTGGTGAGTAACAGTTGGTGATGAACTGTAGCGGTCAACATGCAGAAGTGCTTTCTGGAAACACTTAATGTTCTGATCACAGGACTGCCAGGGTGGGGCCTGCTGGGAACCTAACCACCCTTGCTCGGGATAAAGGTCCACTCCCATCTCATTTCCCCCTCCCTCTCTCTTTCTCTTTCTGCCCCTGCAGTCACTGCTGAGCATCCCGGGCTCGCCCTTCCTCTCCCGCCACAACAGCAAGAGCAGCATCTTCAGTTTCCGGGGCCCTGGGCGGTTCCGAGACCCGGGCTCCGAGAATGAGTTCGCAGACGACGAGCACAGCACGGTGGAGGAGAGCGAGGGCCGCCGGGACTCCCTCTTCATCCCCATCCGGGCCCGCGAGCGCCGCAGCAGCTACAGCGGCTACAGTGGCTACAGCCAGGGCAGCCGCTCCTCGCGCATCTTTCCCAGCCTGCGGCGCAGCGTGAAGCGCAACAGCACCGTGGACTGCAATGGCGTGGTGTCCCTCATCGGCGGCCCCGGCTCCCACATCGGCGGGCGTCTCCTGCCAGAGGTGAAAATTGATAAGGCAGCTACCGATGACAGTGTAAGGAAGTACACAAATAGATCGAGGCTAGGCATGGCAGTCACCCCCGCCCTTTCCCCTCCTCTTTCCTATCCCACTTGGTCTGTCTGGACCCTACTCCTGTTAAGACCCCAGACATTTCTGTGTTCTTGGTGTATTTCTATTTCTCTCTTCAGTCCTTCCCCTGTTACTTGCCCTGTTTTCTCCTTTCCATTATTCCTTGCTCCATTTTCCCCATCTTCCCTCCTTGTTTCTGACATTCCTTCTCTCCCATCAACCCCTTCCTTTATGTTACCTTTTTCTTTCTCTCCATCTTTGTCTTTGCAAGTTTGTCTGCCTACGTTTCCCTCCTCCCACCTGCTTTGACTGAATGCCTCTGGCCAGCGGAGCCTGCCCGGATGGAATGAGAATGCCATCGAGCCACCACCAATGACCAAGTCTGAGCCGGTTTGGAACTACCATTGCTTCTCTTCCCCGACGTCCTCTACTCTCCTAGGGAAACAGCTTGGAATTTAGAGATCTTATCCTTTAAATTTAAAAAAAGCAATCAAGTTTTGAATAATGTTCCAAGTCTCCTCTGCAAGAACGAGACGTGATTTTTCTAAAGAGGAATGCTCCTGAGATGTCAGGGTCGGGGGTGTGTGCCAGCAGAGCCAGGAAAGGAGAGGTTAAAGAGGTCGTTAGGAAACTGGACCCAGACTTTTAAAAGGGATTGAAATGGAAATAAATCAAAGGAGGAAAAGTGGGAGGTTGGAGCAAGAACACATTGTATATGGGGGAGGAAGGAAAAGGGAAGCAAAAGATGAATTTTAAATGTAATCAAATGTCAGGCTCTGGAGGACTTGCATATAATAACTTCACAAAATTGGTGATATAGAGGTTTGGATACTGGTGCTCCTCTTTGGGAAGATCCATCTCCTAACATTTCTTTAAATTCTAAGCTGTTTATGCCTTTTTTACTTTTAAATTCGTATAACCTCAGTGATCCTAATCCTTCATACCTCTAATTTCTAACTTTCCTCAGTCCCTCTTCAGCTTGTATAAGCTCCTTGAGATAGCATGTTAGTCTATTTCGCTCTAGCACTTCAGTTTCTTCTAACACAGCATGAAGATAGCCAATCCTTTAATTAGCATGATGCATGTGTGGAGTAAAACTGGTGGATGAAGTTTTTCAGATTATCTATTTTTAAGAATTTTAGGGTAATTATTGAATGTACAGATAAAATGTCAACAGGCAATTTGTATGTGTTTGGGATTGTCTAGTCTCGTCCTTCCCTTTTAGTTAAAAGCAAAATATGGCCAGGCACAGTGGCTCACACCTGTAATCCCAGCACTTTGGGAGGTCAAGGAAAGGGGATCACATGAAACCAGGAGTTGGAGACCAGCCTGGGCAACACAGTGAGACCCTGTTTGTACAAAAAATAAAAAACAATGACCAGGCATGCTGGCATGTGCCTGTAGTTCCAGCTACTTGGGAGGCTGAGGCAGGAGAATCACACAAGCAAGCCCAAGAGTTTGAGGTTACAATGAGCTATGATCACACCACTACACTTCAGCCTGGGTGACAGAGCGAGACTCGGTATCAAAAATAAAATAAAGGAAAATACTCTCCCCCTTACATTTGTATAGCTTTTTATAAGCTTCAAATTACTCTTCTATGTATTACTCAATTTGTCCTAAGTAAAAATTCTGGATTGGGCATGGGAGCTCATGCCTATAATCCCAACACATTGGGAGCCCGAGACTCGTGGATTGCTTTAGGCCAGGAGTTTGAGACCAGCCTGGCCAACATGGGTGAAACCCCATATCTATTAAAAATACAAAACATTAGCTGGATGTGGGAGGCTGAGGCAGGAGAATAACTTGAACTTGGGAGGTGGAGTTTACAGTGAGCCAAGATTGCACCACTGCACTCCAGCCTGGGCAACAGAGTGAGACTCTGTCTTAAAAAAATCTGTAAGTGTGACTAAGTGAAGATTAATATTCCTATTTTTGAGATGGGGAGAAGGTTCAGAGAATTTGTGTTCCTTTGAGTCTTACAGCTCATCACTGATAGAGCCAGAATCTCAGACCCCTCAGAGGCCCTAATCTTCTGTGTGCCAGTTAATTTTAATTTGGTCTCTGCCTAGGCAGAGGTTATAATGAGCAGAGATCACACTATTGCACTCCAGCCTAGGCAAAAAGAGCAAAACTCTGTCTCAAAAAAATAAAAAATAAATTTTTTAAAGGTGGCTCCGAAGTTCTCCAAGACCAGATAGTTGCCAAAATAAATGTTATACTTATCTTTACATTTAGTTTTTATTTGATTTTTCACTAATTCTGTGAATAGCTTCACAATTAGATAATTATGTTCTCTGAAAAAACTGGAAAAACAAATGATAATATCAATGTTGAATGAAGGATGGGTCAACATAGGCAGTACAGTTGGGGCAATTCAAATGTTTAGAACCAAATTGAATTTTGATGTACTGGCAGTTTTAAAAAATATGTAAGCCAAATAATACAGCTTGCCTTTTCTTTGAATGAAAAGATATTAGGTTAGAGAAGGTATTCAGGAAGAAGGAGCTTGAGGTCAGCTGAAGAGAGATGATCAGATTTGGGGATTTTGTTTTTGTTTTTTTAGCACCTTCTGTTGCACTGTATGGGAGAAAAAATTGAGAGTCAGTTAAGCAGATGGCTGTGGCATATAAAGCTTTCTGTACTACTTTACACTGTGGTCTATAAAGGTCTGCCTTTGGGTTTTGAGGGACCTACATGCCCAGCACCCTGTAAACACTTAGGAGGTTCTTTGTAGTTACCTCCAGTGAGGACAGTGACAGACTTGAGAATTCCCAAGGCCAGGAGGTCAAAGTAGCAGGAAGATGAGGCAGGACTATGTCATTCTCAGGGGCCTCAGAACTAGGAGAAACTTTATTTATTTATTTATTTATTTAGTATGTATATGTGTTATTAGAAGCCATAAAGAAACTATTATCGCTAGTTGTTAATGATGTGGGAAGATGTCTAGGTTACATTAATAGGTTCAAAGGAAGAAAACAGCAAAACAAGATGCATGTAGTTTGTGTGGTGTGATACCAGATTATATAAAGACAAACTACATAGAGAAAAAAGATGAGCAGCCAAAAGTTAACAGTAGTTGCTTAAGAGAGAAGAAATTGCTGACATTTTTCTTCTTTATACTTTTCTGTTCTTTCTGGTTTTCTTTATTGGGCATAATGATTATAGCCATCGTATATTGAGCTCTTATTATACTATGCTGAGCACTTTATATACATTATCTCATTTTATTCTTAAAACCACTCTATTCAGTAGGTGGTTTTATCCTATTAGCAGATGAGACTCAGAGAGAGATCTAGTGTCTTGGGGAATTGGACCTTAAACCAAGGCCTTTCTGATACCAAAAGGAACTTCTTCACAGCTTAAATATTAACTCCTTTTGCACGTGGGCAAAACAGTCACTTATCTTAGAAGGATACAGTATATTGATACTTTTATATTCAGTATTAATGAATTTAATTATAAATTTTAAGATATTCAAATTGTTTAATATCTCTTAAATTAGCTGGAAGCCCAAGCCAGGTGAAAATGAATACCTCTTTGGGCTAGTAGTAGTGATTCTTACTAGCAAACATTTTGGATGCATCCAGAGCCGATGATTAACCTGAGCAGTTAGAATCTTCCAGGTATGTATACTCATCCTTTATAGAGTGGTGTAGAAGCCACTGATAGTGCACAAACTGGTCTCACACAATATTCATGCTTAGGCTATGCCAAATCTATATTTTTTCCTTCAGGCTCAAATGAAGAAATAGGCTGTAAGAAAAAAAGACATTCAGACATCACTTTATTAGATAGTCTCATCAAAAATTACTTTATATCTTCATTAGTTATTCAGTTGTGATTGAGTGTTGAGATCTTTTGATCATTTTGGAATTTCACCTTTGCTTTTTGCTGAAGCAGGGGATAAAGGGACTTTTTCTGCATCTTCATCTCTGAACTGGGAAAGTAGGTGAAAATCATTGCTCTTCACTTATTGCCACTGGCAATCTAGAAATCACATGCAGTTGAGAAGTCATGTTGAGGTAGCTTGCAAATGTATAAGCATTATCTCATTTAATGCTCACAGCCCCGACCTTATGAGATAGCTACTTCTGTTGGCTGCATCTTACTGAAGAGGAAGCCAAGGCTTAGAAAAATAAAGTCACTTGCCCAAAATTAGACAGTAAGCAGTAGAATTAGGATTGAATCCAATCAATCTAACTCCTAAGCTTTAATGATTAACCATTACAATATACTAACCCTGAAGCCCAAGTTCTGTATTTATGCATGTGATCCTGGGAAATTAAATTATTCTAAGCCCATTTTCTTCTCTATAAAAAAAAAAGAGAGAGATATAAAAGGACCTCTGTTATAGGGCTATTGTGAAGATAAAATACAACATACATATGTTATTCATATATAATATGCTTCATATATAAAATGTGAAGCATATTATGTGGCCCATTCTTGCTGCTCAGAAAGCCAGTTTTCATTCCTTTCTTACACTTTTTTGGCCCTGAGAAGTAAACAGTACCGAATCGCTTGACTAGAAGGTGGGGGTGGGTCCTTCTGAGATTCTAAAAATCCTTTGTTTGAGAAAGAGAAATTATTATACAATTATTTTAAAGCAAATCACTACATAAATTTGAGAAAGGCTTGAGAAGGTATTATGGCTAAGTTCTAAGGACACTTAGAAAATACTATAAATTTTAATTCCAAGAAAGGTGACTGGCTAATAAACTTCCAGTTGTGTATTTTCATGTGAAAACAATTTAGAATCAATAAGAAGTCAAGCTCCCTTGGGCAGATCTGTAGAAATGTGGGCAGAATCTGCCATCTGCAGATATTGTAGGATATCTCTTTGAGAAGGACTGTTGTAATTTAGGAAGTTGGAAGTCAGTGGCTAAATGCCCAAAGAAACAGCATTTGGGTTAAGAGAAATGGAATAAACTTGTACTGGGTTCAACTTTCCAAGAGCTTAC